CTCTATGTTTGTCTGATGGAAACCAGCTGACTCACCGTGGCTCTGGTTTTCTTGTAGAGCGATCATCTGTTGGTCTAAGTTAGAAATAAACTGTTGATTCCGAGCTGAGGAATTCTGGCAGAACTGATCCACTTTTAAAGTCATCACATCCCTTGGAGTCTGTGCCGAGGCAAGATGGCCTGCCAAAGCTATCTTAAGTGCCGCCACCTTCCCTTGTACCTCTAAACTGAAGGTACACACTTCCTGTCCCAGCCTGGCAGTGACTTCCTCCCAAAGCTCCTTTCCGCTGCTGTCTCGTTCCTCCTCTACAGCCTCAAATGCTTTCGTTTTAAAGTCCTCAAAGGCTGCTGTCCTTTTCTGGTGGCTTTCATCCAGAGCTAGCGTGATCCTCTGCACTGCCTCCTGGTAGAGTGTGGCTTCCTCTGGGTTCAGGGCCTGGAGGTTCATATTGAGTTTCTCACAGAGTTCCTGAGTGTTGGACTGGAGAGCTGTCTGGAGCTGCTTAGTGAAGGGGGCGAGGAACTCCTTGATATTGGCCATGGTGCGTTTTGGGTGGCTGGGGTAAGGAGATAGTCTCTCCCTCAGCTCAGAAAGCTCCTGCTTTAGACGAGCCCTCAGGCGCTCAGACTCCATACTCAGCTTTCGTCTCAGTTCAGCCGCCATGGGGTTGTGAGAGTCTTGGGAGTAAAGGTCACTGCTCACCACATGGTTCTTCCACACACCACTGCAAAACAGGATCAGGGGTTAATGATTTGGACCATGACTTGGATGTGGACAGGAACGTCCATGATAAAGAAAATGAAAAATCTTGTAAAACTAGTTATTCGAAATGTACTTTTTGTATTCCTGTTGGTTCATATGGTTTAAGAAACTTTAATACAATTTTCAAGAAAAGCTTCAATTTAAATGTCAAGTGGTATAACCATCAAGTAAAAAGAAATAACATTTTCCATACACTCTGAAAACATTTGAGTGTACATCTATTTTCAAAAACATTTTGTGTTTTTCAAGGTGAAAAGTATATATATATTTTTTAAATATCTTTCTTTTTTGGTGGGTTGCACCACATGACATGACACAAGTTTTGTAAATATTAATAAACAGTTTTGTTCAAATGTTTTTTCACCCTAAGAAATAAAAATACAATATTATGCCAAACTACATGATAATGTTTTCCATGCAAGAATTTCATTATTTTTTAATGAGCCGTTTTTTTTTTATTATATCACAACAGCTGTATCGCCCTGACATTTTGACTTCATGTCTCCCAAAAAATATCAAAATTGAATTTTAGTTCAAAAAGTATTTTTAGTAATCACAAAAGGGATGTATTCAAGACATGGCATGTATGAATTAAGTTTTTAATAATAGAAAATAAACAAAATAAATGAGCATCGAGTCATTGTGCCTGTTAATCAACACTACTAGGAGAGTGAACTTACTTTGAATCTTTGGCGAACATTTTCTTGTCAGTAGCCTGATTGTCTCTCTGCAAACTCCATGGTTCTCGACTGATCTCATCGAGTGGAAATGCTGAAAGGAAGGATGGTTGCATTAGATCAATGTAAAATAATAATGATAATAATAATCCCCATTTTAGAGGAAATGAACTTAAAGAGACAACAAACCTGTTGTGGTAGCAAAGACCAAAGCCAGTGTAACAAACTGCAGAATCATTTTAATTTACTGAAGGTTATTCTAGAAAAAAACAAAAAACAGAAAGAAGATTTAAGTATTTAGATCCATTCATTTAAATGTTATTGACTGACAATATTTTTAAAGAGGACAATTTACACGTCACCAATTAATTATTCTATTTAAGTGGACATTTGGCTCTTACCTGTTGATGAGAAAATGAGAATTTCTTCTCAGGGTCCACATTTAAAGCATTCCCTTATCAGAGGATGTCCTGCTCTTCATCTGTGTCAACACATACCACGTGGAGGGTCAGTTTGATAACGATAGGCGTAAGGAACCTAAAGGTATTTTGCCGATTGGCCTCTTCAAATCTGCTCTCTTCCAACAACACAAATTCAAAGTATTCAGTGATGTCACATCAAGGCCAATACTGACGCAATTCCAAGTCAGGTGAGGTCAATGCTGTTGGAATATGTTTACTACTAACTGGAGGTGTTTGGTCAACTCTTACTTGAACAGGTTTGAATACTTTTCATTTCAAATGTGGATGCTCTGTCCCAGGACTTATGTTGGCTGTGAACTTAACTGCATGAAATTTGGCTTAGTTTTATCAGTCATATTGAGTCCTACTTGGCTTTCCCACAGCAATGACACAGAAATAAGTCACAGAGAATGAACCCTCCAGGCCTGTGCTTGCTGCATTATCTCTGGCTCCATGAACAAAGGTGCTGTTTGTTTGTACTTAGGTTAGGTTTGCTTTGAGTCTATGGGTCGTAGCTAGTGATATAATACAAAGCAGCTTACTTTGAACATTTGATTATTCTTTAGACCCCACTTTCTGGCAGCTGTATAAGTGAGCATTAGGCAAGAACAAACAGTGCACACGGAATTTTTGCTATACAAATGCCATAGTTTTATTAGTTACCAAACATTCTGTTTTGTGTATTGGGTAATGGGTTGAGCAAATCTAAAGCACTACGTCATTGTAGTTTGCTCCATTCATTTTGTACCATGGCTGTCTGGGCAATAACATGATTTAGCTAGAGATGTTATACCATCGTGCAATTATGGTGCACTTTTACCTTTTCCTTATTTCCTAATATTATTAGTGTATCACTAGTTAAATTTCTTATCTGAAAAAAAAAAGTTGGCTGTGAAGTTATATCTTATCACTGACCTAAAAATGAATGGAATCTAAACATACTTTATACACTTCAGCAGAGCTCTCATTGCATTCATTCACAAATTTAGCGTCCTTTGTCTTAGAAAAGACAAATTCACGTGACTCAGCACTTAATAAAAATGTTCTTCATTGCCGACAAACACTAAGATGCATTTGCATGGTTCGTTTCAGTGAAGTGAATAATATTCTTCTTCTTATTATTATTATTATTATCACTATTATTTAGTGCTGTCAAAAGATGAATCGCATCCAAAATAAAAGTTTTTGTTTACATAATATTTGTGTGTACTCTGTATATTTATGTATATTTAAATACACACACACATATTTTGAAAATATTTACATGTATTTACAAGTATAAATTTATATTCATAATTTATATTATATATAAATATATTTAATATATAAACATAACATATTTTTCTTAAATATATACATTCATGTGTGTGTATTTATATATACATAATAAATATACACAGTATACACACATATTCTGTAAAAAAAACGTTTATTTTGGATGCGATTAATCGTTTGACAGCACTATATTATTACAGTGTTGGTATGTTCTCAAGGTTTCCTGTTAACTTACTGCTTTGCTGAGAACTAGCTCTAAACGATTCAGTTCGTGAGTGAACTGTTCAAATGATTCAGGTTATCACGTACTGATTCAGCCCACGTCTGACGTATTCATTGGAAAGCGCTGACTCTATTAAGTGATTTATTCGTGCTTTAAATCATCAGAAAAGAAATAGCAGACACACAACATGAATTCTACCAAAATCCAGGTAAAAGTTTTTTTTTAGGGCAAAACTGTATTTTACTTGTGGCTCGTGCCACAGGAATCCAGGCGTCAGGAGTTTAGCGAGTCATAGCGACGCTTGCATCACTAGTGAAGATCCTGCAATCGCCGTCCAAAGCCACGCCCCCTGAACGCATTTACGCTCACAGACCAGAAACAACATTACTACAATAGGCTACATCAGGTTCCCAATTCCAGCCCATGTTCAGAAGTGAAGTAAACTTCAACGGATTTCCCCCACTCAGGGAGTACTTAAGACAATCACCTATTGCACCTTTAAATACGGACACAGATGAAGAGCTCAGATGCAAAGCCTCTAAAAGTGCCGTTTGAAATTTTCTTCTGAAATTAGCATTTTTATCAGGCTCCTATGTGCCAATGAATAGATTATTTTCATTGGCATTAAAGTGAAATAACTGAACATAAACATAGGAGCCTGAGAAAAATGCTTTTGCGTCTGAACTCTTCAGTTGTTCTCCAGGAAGGGACTGCAGGATAACTCTCCATGTTTGGAAACACGATATTGAGTTAAACTTGCGATAACAAATTGTGCAACAGGTTGTTTTGTGGGAATGGGCATCAGTTAATAAGTAGTCTAACTATATAATCATGTGGTTTTATTCTTTTTATTTTATCATTGTTTTTATCATATTACCATTTTACAACTGCAACACTAAAGCTACCTACTACCTAGTCATTGAGTTCATTCTTACGTAGGGCTAAAAGTGTGTGAAATGTGAAAATGTGTATTACATAATTGAAGTCACCATTAGGTCATAGTCCACACACACTCAGCTAAAGTAATTCGGGGTCCAAGTTCACTGATTTTTGAAGCACATTACAAAAAAATTATGTCATCATAAGTGTGGTAAGCATAGTCTTTAACTGAATAGATTCATGCTTTTTAAAATATTGTTTTTCACTTCAAATTTTATGACCGGGTTGCATTGTCAATGCAAGATATGATTTCCTTGCACAGTTCAAAGATGTAAATATTTTGTGTGAATTCAAGTTTGTTTATACTAATATAGGGTTCTGGATCCTGCAGATTCAACTTTAACCCAGATATCGCAATCGGTTTACTAGGCTGACCATGGCCTTCTCACCTACTGGGTGCGCATCAAATGAATGAAGCCAAAGGATTTGAAAAACAAGGTTTGTTGTTTTAGCGTCCCACTGCTTGTTAGAATACAGAGTGCCTGGAATGTTCTCTTCTCCTGCCAAAGCATTTCAGAAAGTGCACACTAGTAAAACATTTCTGATAGGACTTTTTCTCATACGACTGCAACTTGTGACTGATTTAATGTTTTTCCAGATGTGCTGAAAGACATTTAAAGCACAGCCAAAATCATTAATCAGTTTCATGGTTTCACTGTGGCCTGTAATCTGAACTGGCAGCATCAGGTTGCATCTTTCTGCCTATTGGCATGTGTGATGGTTTATCTCTAGACTGTTCATGAATCATTCAGCATGGCAGGGAGAGAGCTTCCTGTATGCCTTCAAGCTGTCTCTGAGCCCTGGACAGCAAACTGACATGATGTGCTCGTTCAGGGTTTGCCTCTGCTGGCCTACCTTACTTTGCTGGTTCCTTGCCCCAAGACTGAGCACTGCTGTTGGATCAAACGTAACTAAGACTTCCTGAAAGATCTTCCTGCAAACCAGGTAACTTGAATTTTTCTGGGACCTGAGGATGTGAAAATGCATCAAGTGGGTGTTTATTAGAGTCCCAGGGGTTAATTTTTAATACAATGTAAACAAGACAACTGTCTTCAACTCTTTACCATGCCTTGATCATATATTTTGGCTAATTTTATGTGTATTTTAATAATACAAATAATAATGTTTTACCCTTTTTCTGTTAAACTGAAAATGCATTATAAATTTATTTTAAATTACAATGATCTAAAAAGAGTGAAGTAATCATTTTGATATTTATTGTGTTAACATTTTCACTTGTGATCATTTAATTGCAAGCCATTTCCAACCATGATGTATTTTTGTAAAAATATTCAAAAAGTAAATGCAAGTGTGTATTAGGACACAGCGCTAGTTATGAAATGTTCCTTATCAAGACTTCAGACTTTTTCCCCCAATATTTTTTAAATGTATTTTCATCCACAGTGGAAGACATTGTTAGAAGACCAGTTAGTGTTTTAAAAGCTTATTTTCTAAAAGTTCACTTTGCCAAAAATTCAATATTTGAAGAAAAACTTAAAGAATAAGTCAACCAAATATTACAATTTGCTGAAAATTTACTCACCCTCAGGCCATCCGAGATGTAGATGAGTTTGTTTCTTCATCTGAACAGATTTGGAGAAATTTACCATCACATCACTTGCTCACCAATGGATCCTCTGCAGTGAATGGGTGCCGTCAGAATGAGAGTTCAAACAGCTGATAAAAACATCATAGCAATCCATAAGTAATCCACACAACTCCAGTCCATCAATTAATGTCTTGTGAAGTGAAAGCTGCGTGTTTGTATTCATCACTACGATGTTTCATCAATAAACTCATAATAAAGGCAGATGCTTCTGACGATTTAAAGTTAAAACGCTTTATTAAAATTGTTTGATTTGTTTGATGGATTATATGATGGACAAACAAGCAAACAGCTTTTTAATTCACAAGACATTCATTGATAAACTGGAGTCATGTGGATTACTTGTGGATTATTGTAATTTTTTATCAGCAGTTTGGACTCATTCTGACGGCACCCATTCACTCCATTGGTGAACTAGCAATGGCAAATTTTGGCAATGGCAAATTTATTTATATAGCACCATTAATTACAACCCATGGTTGTCCAATGGGCTTTACAAAAAAATAAAAAAATGAAAACAGATTGTGATAGGTAATTCATTCCAGAGTCTGGGGGCAACTACAGAGAATGCACGGTCACCTCTACACTTATACTTCGACCTAGGGATAACCAACAGTCTCTGTTTGGACGACCGACGTGATCTGGTGGGAAAATGTTCAATCAACAGGTCAGAAAGGTAAGATGGGGCCATACCATTCAGAGATTTGTACACTATGAGTAAAATTTCAAAATCAATTCTGTGGCGCACTGGTAACCAGTGCAGAGAGCGTAAAATTGGAGTGATGTAGTCCCGTTTTCGAGTACCCGTAAGCAGTCTGGCTGCTGCATTTTGAACTAACTGTAATCGGGACAGAGCTGATTGGCTAATCCCAACATATAGAGAATTACAGTAATCCAGCCTGGAATGTACTAGCACCATGTACTAGCAATGAAATGCTGAATTTATCCAAAATTGTTCTGATGAGGAAACAAACTCATCTTCATTTTGGTTTGTTCTGAGAGTGAGTACATTTTCATTTTTGGGTAAATTATTCCTTTAAGAATGAAATTGAGTTTGAAAATTGGAGCAAGATTATCTTTCTAATTTTGTACACTCTGAAGGTTTTTACTACCCAGAGGGAGGTGAGGGTCCAGTTCCATGTCCCAGAGGAACACTGTAACTGATTTTTGTAATTTGAACAGTATTATACTGTAATATGTACAGTAAGATACTGTAAAATGTGTATACAGTATTTTAAAGTAAACCGCAAAGGATTATGGGAAAATATACTGTCACTACTGTATTTCCTCACTACTGTAAATCAATTTACAGTAGTGAACTTGCCCGCGAAAAACTGACCAATGGCAAGGGAGATTTCTTTTTTGACTGTTTGGT